AGGATGGCGACGCTCAGAGATTGGGGACTGATAAAGAGAAGAAGAGACAAAAAGAAATCTGACGGCCTTTTCTTGCACACACGCTGCGGGACTCGCCCTCTCAGTCTCTCTGTCTCGCTCTGATTGCGTCCGCTCTTTGTCGCTTTACGCCTGTCGGTGTTGCTTCTTTGTAGTCAGCCCCCTTCCCTTTCTGAGACCTCGTTGGTGGGTTTGAGTGGCTGTTGTTATGGAGTTGTTTATTGTAGTCTACAGCCCGTCAACGAAAGAATAGCCCCAATCATAGGGAACAGAGTGGGTTGAAAGAACCATTGAAAAGAAAGAGGCGTGCATGTACATGTGTGTGCGTGCGTGTGTGTGTGTGTGTGTGTGTGTGTGTGTGTGTGTGTGTGTTGTTACGAACATTATACACATTGTACACATATACATTTCTTATGAAGATGCGCGCGCACTCGCATCTAATTTGAATGTGAGAAGTATAAGTCATTCTCGCATCTGCACATCTGAGATATTAGAAAGGAATTTCACAAACAAAAAAACCAGGTGAGACTATTTTTAAACAAAACGTTTATATCCCGAGGCAAAAATTTCTAATGCTTTCAAAACTTCCATGCTTTCCCCACAAGATTCTTCTGCAACAAAGGATACCTTAAGATGTGAGGAAGTGGGGGAAGGGGGGAGGGATGAGAAGACATTATTTTATCGAGGTCATGCATCAAATGAGGTTACGCTACAATTTCAAAGGAGGAAATTTGGCCCAAATTAAGGAACCAAGCACCAATGAAATCTAGTTCCGATCTAGACTAAACGTTACTAAACTGAACATTCAGTTCTTTACTAAACTGAACATTCAGTTCATTTCTGCTCTAGAGTGGACATAAACATAATCATAAAAAGAATTTTTTCAAAAGGACAATAGTGAGTCATTGAAAGTTCAGAAAGCAGCACAAACAGAAAAATGGCCTGGAAAGGCATCCAACGGACTTAATATAATACCCCATGCTATAAAAAGTAGTTAGGTCATTCACAATAGGATCTCTCAATCTCATCTTACATCCGTTTCTGACGCGGTGGACTAAGTGGGCTGACAGCCCTGAATATCGAAATAAATCAAAGTCCAGGAAAAGCCCACCAAGCACTCAAGACAAGACTGCCTGTGACACATTCTGTACGGAAAGTAACAGCGAATATATAAGGACCACCCAAACGGAAAAAGAAACTAAGGAGTAAAAAATGTTAATCTAAAAAATAAAAGCACACCCTCCAGTCACCCACTCACCTGTATGAGGCGTGATAAAAGGCCTGTCGTTCCCTACTGGAGCCGCTACAGTCGTGCTGGGAGCTGGCACTGCCTCCTTTGGCACACTGCCCATGGCCCCAGTGCCAGCAACCGGCAAAGTCCCAGTGGCTTGACCCTTGTCCTTCTTCTTCTGTGGCGCCGGCGGCTCGCCCTGGAGGTCCTCCAGCTCGTCCTCTGACTGGGACACGGGCTGCGCTGCCGTCCGCCGCATGGTGTTCACCAGGTAGCCAGCGTGCTCCTTGAAAATGCACTTGCCCTCGCACTTGAACAGGTAGCAATAGCGGTCACTCTGGAGGAAAGAAATATACAGACTGTCAGTAGGCTATCCATCTACCTTTAACTTATTGTGTTGATGGACCCTTTACTTCTAGTTTTAGTAAGAGTTTAACAGCACTTGCAAAATACCGTAATTAGGTCATAAATGTGCCGGAGATAAGAAGTGTCACTTGAGAGTAACATTCAAAGAAAAGAATGAGAGGTATGGAAAATAAATGTTTGATTGGAAAGATGTAGCAAACAACACCAAAGCACCCGCTAATCATCCATGCTTATTATACAGCTCATAAGAAGCCCAGTTGGGTCTGTACAAATATTTCGGCAAACGTTATATAGGTCAGTTTTAGTCCAAATCTGGGAACAAGTGATTTCTTTGTTAGGGTAAAGAGAAGCACATTGACGCAATAACGGTCATCATTTGGTGCAGGAAAAGGGTAAGGCAGACAAACAGAATGAAAAAGAGGGAAAGAAAAGAAGAGGAACCATCATTGGTGCCGTCCAACCACCCACTATGGCACTTGCAACACAAATAGGTATTATAAGTGCTAGCTATTAGAAGTGCAGCGAGAGAGTAGAATATAAAGAAAAGAAGGAAGACAGATAAGGACAACACATGTTTGATAGAAAAGAAGGAGAAAACCACACCAGAGCACCAGCCAACCACCCACAATCCCGCCTGTCGGTGCCAACCCGAATGAGCATGATTGATACAGCACCCAAACGGAGAAGCTGGAAAATAATTAGTCAGCCCCACGAGGGAATCAAACTCACATCTTTCACATGCAACAGTGAAGAGCCTAGCCATTACACCATATATAAGCTGATGTGGAGAACTGTGATGTTTGAACTCAGAATTGAGTAAGACCAAATGTTTTGCGGCACTTGCAACGTAAATGGGTCATATTTAAGTGCCGTAAATTAGATGTGTTACTAGAAAAAAACATACAAAGAAAAGAATGAGGAGGGATAAGGACAAGCAAGATACTTTTTAAAGGAAAGAAGAAACAAACCACACCAAAGCATCCGCCAACCACCCACTCTAAACTCGGAAGACTGATCAACTAGGAAAGACCAGGTCGAGAAGGAGAAACAAAGCCATTCTCAACCACAACAACAGAGAAATAACTCACAGGGACCTATTAAACAAACGAGCAACAACAATCTGGCTGTCGAATTAATGCACACGAGGGGAGATAGCGACCTGAAGCCAGCAATTCACAGGGCATGGTTACCCGAACACACCACCGCCTTTGTGCGAACAGCACGCATTGATCAAGCATTTATAAATAAATGCCGAACTCAACACAGATGGTACGAGCACTGGCGTAAGAGTGCAGACTTCATTATTTGACGATACGGGCAGTATAACCTTGTCTATACCATATATCTCTTTTCTTTTTAAAGAAAAAGTAAGGGACTTTGATTTTCTTTTTTCCCTTCCAAATTAAAACCAACCATATGTGACACTTCATATTTTTACACGTGCGTGCTAGTAAATATCTATAGATCTAGGTGTGAGTCAGCAGTATCAGTACTTAGCGTCACCAGCTCTGCATTGGGTTATTTTTCCTATCTATCGAACTGTTTGGAGAAGATAAAGGATTTATCACCAATCGCCATACCGCGAACAGTGCGCTTTGTTTGGCGTTAGACTTTAAATGCACTCTGAGAGCGCTTGTACAGTCCCTTTTCGATGCAAAAAGTGTAACATTTTCTTATCTCTTACATAAAAAGATACACGCCACTGTCGCACATGCTGCTAAATGGAATGGCACAGAATAGCATACTATATTACCACGATAACAGTTACTTTGCGCGGGGAAAACGCAAGATAGACAGCACAGACAGTAGATAGTAACTCGAGGAAAAGGTGAGGAGACAGTAGTGCCTTCCGATCACACACTCTCAACCTTGAAGTTCAAACTCTTGAAAATATTTTCTAGAAAAGAAATTCAGTTCACAACGCTACAGAAATACACGACAAGACGATGGCATAATCATCTCCAGGCAGGTCTATCAAACGTTCTGACTGCTCATCTAGCCTACCTAGCTGTACAATTCTTTTAAAATCTACCCGTTTACAGTTTAAGTTCTCTCTCTCTCTCTCTCTCTCTCTCTCTTTCAC